TCTGTACCTTCATGGTCTATATTTTGGGACATTCCGTATAGTAGACTTGCTTTTCATTAGGAGATGGATTCCCGGTAGTAGCCAGACAGAAAATGAGGCATTTATTTTGGAGTTAAGCTGATAGATTTTCCATATGGAGTGCAGCTACGTGGGATTTACTTTTAGAAACTTTTCTCCATTTGGTTTGATGTATTATTTGATTTTAAATTCCTCAATGATATCTGCCCTTGATTTCTGGTGTAAATTTATTTATTTTTGCTATCTGCATGAATTAGAGGTTTTACATATTTTTTTTTTTTTTATGTTAAACTCCTAACTTGATTTCCCATGAGGAGAGCTTTTCAGTCTAGTGGCATCTGCTCCATTTGTGTCTTTTAATGAAAATAGCCTTTCAGGCATCTGTTAGGCCTGCTAAAAATAAAAGAATTCAGAAAATTCAGACCCTTCTTGGATTATACCTTTTTAGGAAAATATCATTGTCTGAATTCAGCATGGAGAAACAAAAGCTGTCTTTGCATTCCAGACTAATCAAGATGTCAGTACATCTAATTGTATTCTTTTGATAAGGCAAAAAAAAAAAAGACTACTTTCTTTACCTAGTAGAACATACCTTTCTGCAAATTTCAGCATGAAGACTTATTTTTATATTTATATATATATATATATATATATATATATATAAGACTCAGCTTATTTTGACAGCTGTGTTGTAACCCCCATTGGCAATTCTGAGATCTGCTCACTGACCTTGCTGGTCCATCTTTGTTGAACATAATGCAATTCTAAACAGCACCAGAGATTTTCTGCACTGTGTATCAGTGCACTGTCATCCACTAGACAAGGGAAGGCTGCCTGTATGCAGCTCGGAGGTAACTGATAGACGTTGTCCCTTTGTCACTTAAAATACACTCCCTTTGTTTCTGACCTGAATATCCTTTAGGAAAATCTTGGATGTGCAGGACAGTCAGTAGTGCAAATTCAAGCTGTTTATAATTCAAGCTGGAGAAACAGTTGCAGAACATGCCCTCTGTCACAGCTAATACGGCTGAAAAGTCATGAATTCAATTACTTGCATGTGTGTGTATATATATATGTATGGCATGTATATATATGTGTATATATGTATAGAAAGACCTTCTGATTTCTTGTAGGTAATTTTAATTTTGAGTTGGCAGTTCTTTGCTTTGTTATCATTTATTGAGAAAAAAAGAGTGTGCCAAAGGTGAAGAAAGATATACTATTTCCACAAAGCCATAAAAACATCTCAACAAAAATACTATTCTTTTATTGTGAATTGACTTCCCATACACTGAAGTATTGTTTGATCTTTCCAGAATGATGCTGGTCTTCACTAAGATTTAGGCATGTTGGCTGTCCATTTCAAACTGAGCAGGATGTTCTTTTATCTTCTTTAAACATGGTAAAACGTCTCTTAAGGTATCAGTCCTCTCTTATTTGAAGCTTTTTTTCTGCTTTTCAAGTGCCTGAGTGTAAAGAAAAGAGTGAGGAATTCACACTTTTTACCTCTGCACTCTGTAAAGTTCAATGACGTTGCAGTGGTGAAAGCCATACATTCTCCACAGGCATCCACAGGAGATGCCATTCCAGTTTACTCTCTTTAGTCAGCTTGGCTGTAACTGATATTTTACTTTTTGGATGGGAACACTTTCAGGTGGTCTGACAGCCTCAGTACTGCTGATCCTTTTAAGGAAGGTAGGAAACTGAAACCCTTGCAGTGTTTTTCTTTATGAGCTTGTGACAGGAATGAATCCTCTTCAGTGATCAAAATGTAGTGTCAGTGTAACTTCTGAGACTTGTTCCTTTACTTGATATCAACAAAGGAGACAGTGAAAGTACACATATATCAGATTGTACTCTCTTGCAGTTGCCTTATGATTTATGATGTATTTGAGAGAAAAAGCTGTCTTTGCTGTTGGATGTGAGATCTGTGAGAGTTAGTACTGGGCAGCTCAACTCATGTATCAGTTCCCATTTGTACTTGCACGTAGTGAGACTATTCTTGTATGCTATTACTTGAAAAATAGAGCAATTCATTACCCTTTGATTGAGTTCTCTGTCTTGTGTGAGTTTCTACTTCAGCTTCCCTTTTTAGTTATTTGGATTGTCTGTTCGGGATTCCACTACAAAGTAGCCTTACGTCTTTATATGCTGATTATAAAAAAGTGTAGGGCATTAGCAGAAGCCTGTCAGCATTGCAACACTTAAATTCTTAGCAGCTCTTGTGGCAAAGTATGTATAGATTTTACAGTTTGAGTATAATTATAGACTACATGTCACAAAGAAAGCCATATATTACTAAGGCAACTGTCCATCTCTTCCCTTCTCAATAATTGATTTGGCAAACAGGTAAACAGATAGTACCAGCAACATGCATTGTGCATGGGTTTCAGACCATTTTGAATAATAATTATAATGATGATGATGATACTACTAACCCAGTGGCATTTCTGTTGTGCTTCTGGCATGTGTTTTGGTTTCTAATTTTTTGGAGTACATATTTCTGCATTCATCCTTAAGAATGACATACTTACATACAGGACATCTTAAGTTATTGTAGTTCAAGTAGTTCTGATGAAAACTTTGCACCTTTTATGCGTAGGTGCAGGCTCATGTTTGTGCGACACATCTTTGTGATTTAAAGTACCTGATTATTTCAGTATCAAGGATCTGCCTGCCTGAAAAGCCAATGCTCAATAAATAATGCATCTTCTGCTGATTCTATAGTGTCTTGAGCTTGGTACCATTTAAAATCAATGCACCTTACACTGCATTTTGTTAGTTTCTATGGTTTAATATTAATGAATTATCTCTATTGCACCCTGAGTAGGGACAAATATTAAAAATCTGTATAACTTCAATGAAACTTTGTGGGTTTTTTCTAGTCTAGTCTCAATTTTTCCTGGCTAACTGAACAACCAAACTTAAAATTAGGAATGTTGCTCTCAATATGCTATGAAGTAGTAGTACATGTACAAATCTAGTAAAATAATTGAGGAAAAGGAGTTAAGAGTGATTTTTCATGATGGAGCTGGGAGAATGACTTCATCACACTTGCCTCTGTCCAGTACCTTAATATTCTTTTAGGTAGTTATTCTTAAATTAGGTGTAAAGTTGTAAGAGTACTATGTTAATTTTATGCATAGTTTAGGTATTTCTGTTTCTGATTCACTGCAAAATGCCTTATTCAAATTCAAATCCCATTATCCTTGCTTATTCATACGTAAGTAAGAATTTTATCACACTTGTTGGATGCTATGTCATATATAATAAGAATGGAATATATGCCTACCGTGGACACTGAGCTAATAATGTTCAAACTGTACATTTTAAGTGTTTTACTTTAGGACCAGGCTGGAGAAAACCTGTGGACTAAAGCGCAACAGTTGATTTTCAACCTAGTTTAATCTGAAAGACATCCTGTCTATGTGCTCTGCTTTGTGATGAAAAACAAAGTATGGTTAGTGGAAAGGATTTCTTATTTTACATCAAGATTTAATATATGAACTAAAATGTAAATGGTGTGTTTATTTCAATGGGACATCATCAGGTGGTTGCACAGCTAGGCAGGCATTTCTGAAGTGGGTTAGTAACATAAAATCTTCACTCTACCTGATTTTATTTTCTTCTACTGTCACAGTGAAACCAATAAAATAGACTGTAAATTCCATCCTCTTTGGCTTCTATATCAAAGCTGTTTGAATTAGACAGCCTTCAGTTTCACTTTATATTGAAAATGGAAGGAGTGTCACCTTTATCCTTTTCACTGAGTCTGTTTTGGGATGATCAGTACCATATGACTTAGGAACTTCTCACTGTCAGAGGAATTTCATATTAATAGACTAGGTACGGTTGAGAAATACTCTATAAAACCTTAGGTGTCGCTGTGGTTTGGAGGGGGATATTTCCAATTTAAAGGCAGGAGTTTAATGTCACTATATGAAGCCTATTGCTTTGTAGGAGAAGTGCCAATATTATTGGTTCTTTTCTTACATTGAGAAATATTAATATCTGAAAACCACTATATATTCTTTATTAAGGAAAAAAACCAGCAAAACAAAATTAGTTTAGGGTTTCAGGAATTGTGAAGGAATTACTGTCTTGAACCTTGCCTTGAGAAGGAAAAAGAAAAGTATGGGGAAGGAAATTTATGGAATTCAAGAAATTGATGTGAAAACAGGGAGAGGGAAAAATGAGATAAGTAGCTCATGAAAGAATTTGAGACTAGTGTTTCTAGTATGGATGTAGGAAACAACGTACAAAGTACTTCTGGAGTGAGAATTCAGTGACTTAATGTTTAAGAAGATTGAAACTTCTGTTGAAAATACATGACCAGTAAACCATAGAAAAGGCCAAGTCTTTTAAGTATGATGTACAGAAGCTACTGTTTTCCTGGGAGCATCCTGCTCTACCTCATTAACTGTATTAGGTGAGTATACGGTAATATAGTGGGGTATGAGTGTTGGTATATATTAGCGTATGCTATATTATGTGTTTCATAGCTGAGATTTTTCAAAACTGTTATATTCCTGCAAGTTTATAACAAGCTGTTATTGGAATCATCTTTCAAATATTTGCCCCAGAAAATGAGATTTGCCTTGTTTTGGTACATCCTGAGTTATACGAAATTTGTGAACTACTTTCATTTCTTTGCAACTGCTGGCTCATAAACATGGATTAGTTTTATAGGATTTGGTATATGAGTTGACAGATGTGATATATGATGACACTTTATCTTTTATTGCTTACACATACTAGTTATTTGGAAAGGATGGGGGCAGTTACTGTTAACCACAAGATGGGATTTCAGTTGCTTACCCAAGTGTCTCTCATTCATTCATTCATTTGCTATCAGTAATAGCAGATATATTGCTTCTTCAAGCCTGTCTCACCAATAAATCATTTCAGATTGCATGCATTTGTACAGTGCCAAAGTATACGATGAATTTTAAAGGAAATCTCCTGTTTTTCTTTTCAATCAGATGAGCAACGTGAAGAGACTTCGTCCACGGCTCAGTGCTATTCTTTTTAAGCTTCAGTTTGAGGAGCAGGTGAACAACATCAAACCTGACATCATGGCTGTCAGTGCTGCCTGTGAAGAGATAAAAAAGAGTAAAAGCTTTAGCAAGCTGCTGGAACTAGTATTGTTAATGGGAAACTACATGAATGCAGGTTCTCGGAATGCACAGACCTTTGGATATAATCTCAGCTCCCTGTGTAAAGTGAGTTTTGAAAGTTCATGTTGAGTATTACATTCACTTTTTCATTTGTTTTTACTATGCTACTTAAATACTTGGGGTTTATGTTCTTCCTGCAGTTATTTGATTTCTATTTTTTTCATTATTGTTAGCATTAATTGATGGTTTGAACAATACAGCTAATCTGTGAATAGTCATCTTGAGAGGGGTTGGCATTTAAACTTTTAGATGATTTTGTTTTGAGGAAATACTAAAAAATCCAAATCCAAACTAAATAAGGATATGAAAGGACCGTATCACTGTGATCATAGTAATGGTGTAGTTTTAATGTCTGAGCACTTCTAAGACATCTATCACATTTTAATATATTTTAATACATTAGGTTTTTTCTTGGACATACACTTTCTCCTCATGGGATTCTCTTCTTTTGTTGCTCAGTTTCATCAGTTTCTTGTTTCTTCTAATTTTTCTTAAATTTTCACTCTTTCAACTTTTGTATAAGGTGTATACAAGAAAGCATCTATGCTTTTCTGAGTGTTAATTTATAATCCATTCTAATCCTAATTACCTTCCCCATATTTACTGTTGTTATTTTTTTTCTTGTGTCCTCTGGTAGACTACTGCAAAATCTACAGAGAGCACACTTATGTAATAGTTCTTACGAGAAAGGAATTATTTGGAAGTTTGTATGTACTATGGCTTTCCATTTCTTTATCATTTTGCTCAAGAGAAAATACAATATATTAACTTTCACATTCTTTAACTACCCTTATGCTGCCATATTTTGAAAGAATTCTTTCACTGTGGTTTTTGGGTGTTGAATGTGATACCTATGACATAAATATTCATAGAGAATAAGTTATATAATTTCCTTGGTCTAAAGTAAACATTAAGCATGGGTCATCCACCTAGAGAAATACAATTTGTTGAGAAACATTCAGAAGGAAGGTACTATATGTTTGCTCTCCAGTTAGGTGCATTTACTTTTTAGGTTTTACAAAAATATGTCATACATCTGCTTATATTCTCTGTATTTTTAATGCACAAGACAACAAAAAAAGAAATATGACAACAAAAAAGAAATATGAAAACAATGTGAAGGTAATTTTTACAAGCAGTTTGCAGAGCAGGATCAAAAGTCAGAATTTATCTTGGAGGAATAATTTATTAAGATCTAGAATATGAAAATTTTGAAGATACCCATGGAGTACTACACATAGGAAAGAGAAATCATGAATTTCAGAACAAGGGTTCTGAACAAGGGTTCACTCTCCAGAGCTCTGTCATTAAATGCATTTGATAATCTAGGATCTTATAGTTAAAATAGAAACATAGAGTATATTGGAAGGGACCAATCAGGATTATCAAGTCCAACTCCTGGCCCTGCACAGGACACTGCAAAAATCACGCCACGTGCCTGAAAGCATTGGCCAAACACTTCTTGAACTCTGTCAGACTTGGTGCTGTGACTACTTTCCTGGGAAGCCTGTTCCAGTGCTCAAACACCCTGTGGGTTAAAAACCTTTTCCGGATATCCAGGCTAAACCTGCCCCAATTCAGCTTCATACTTTGTCTTTGAGTTCTGTCACTGGTCATGAGTGAAGAGAACAGCTCCTACCCCTCTGCTTCCCCTCCTGAGATTGTTGAAAATGGCAATGAGGTCTTGCCTCAGTCTCCTCTTCTCTAGGCTGAACAAACCAGGTGACCTCAGCCTCTCTTCATACGGCTTCCCTTCCAGACTCTTCATCCTCCTTTGGATGCTCTCCAACAGCTTAATGTATTTTTTATATTGCTGTGCCCAAAACTGTACACAATATTCAAGGTGAGACTGCAGCAGTGCAGAGCAGAGCAGGACAATCCCCTCCTCTGACTGGTTGGTGATGCTTTGCCTGATGGCCCCCAGGACATGGTTGACCCTCCTGGCTGCCAGGGCACCCCCAGCTCCCTTTCCATAGTGCTACTCTCTGTCCTCTTGTTTCCTAGTCTAAACAGACAACCGGGGTTGCCCTGTCACAGGTGCAGAATCCAGCACTTGCCCTTGTTAAACTTCATATGGTTGGTGATTGCCCATCTCTCTAATTTGTTGAGGTCCCCTCTACAGGGCCTCTCTGCCCTCAAGGGAGTCAATAGCTCCTCCCACTTTAGTACCATCTGCAAACTTACTTACTATTCCTTAAAGCCCTGGTCATCACTGAAGACGTTGAGGAGAACTAGGCTGAGGAACTCCACTGGTGACATGTCACCAGGCTTATGTTGCTCCATTCACTATAACTCTGAGCCAATTGCTCACCCATCACGTAACATGGTTATCTAGCTGCGGGCTGGACATTTTGTCCAGAAGGATCTGGTGAGAGACAGTATCAAAAGCTTTACTGAAATCCTGAAAGATTACATGGCTTCCCTTGATCAACGAGCCAGGTTTCCCTGTCACAGAAGGTTTGACAAGTAGGACTTTCCCCTTATTAAGCTGTACTGGCTGTGACCAATGACTGCATTGTTCTCCAAGTGTCTTTCAATACCTCACTGAATAATCTTTTTGTGATTTTACTGGGCACTGAAGACCTGTAGTTTCTGGGATCCTTCTTCTTGCCCTTCTTGAAAACTGGGACTGTGTTAACCAGCTTCCAATCAGCTGGGACCTGTCCAGATTCCCAAGACCACTCAAAAATCATTGAGAGAGGCTTTGCAGTGACATCAACCAATTCTTTGAGTATTCTGGGATGAATTCCATCAGGCCCCATAGTTTTTTAGGGATCCAACTGGAACAGCAGATCCTGAGCAATTTCAGAGCTGACTGGGAGTTGATCATTCTAACAGCCATGGTCCTCCAACTCAGGGCAACCTCAACTTTGATTTATACAGTTACAGGTTATTTCACCTTACAGGAGGGTACAATATTCTTTAGAGAGGAAAAAAATGTCTTTTAGTGTACCTTCTGTATGTTGATTATCTACTACTTACTTGGTACTGATAAGTAAGACTTCACTTTTAAGTTCACTTTTAAGTGAAGTCTTGTCCGAATTACTGCAGAAAATACATAGACTGACTGGTGAGAATCCACATGTAGAACTTTTAATCTAAGGAAAAAAACATTAGGGTGTATTTAGTTTAGAAGACAAAGAAGAGGAATATACTCTTCATTTATGCTTAAGAGAAATGTTGATCACTACCAATAGGCTGTAGGTAAAGTAGATAAGTAGAAACAAAGTTTTAAACACCCCCCAAAAAAAGTAATTTGCTCCCTATTATCAAAATGCTTATTACGGTGTAATTTTGATATTATATCATGCTGTATGATTGGAAGTGCTGAGACTGGTTTACTTTTTTCAGGACTTAATTTTTGTATAAAAAGATAATGTCATATGTTTCATTTACATAAGAAACGTGCAAGTACAAAAATGATGTTCTAATGACAAAGATTTTGCATCTATTTCATTTGCTGTCACTTCAAGCTAGGTTGTAAACACCAAACCATGCTGTGTAAAAACTTTTTGGGAGGGAAGATAATGCAACCTTAATGGTTGCTGAATGTGAATGCCTACGGCAAAGGGGTTTGGACTAGATAGTCTTGAAAGGTGCCTTCCAAGCTGAGCTGTTCTATTACAAGAAAAAACAGAACAAAGCGAAAACCTCAGACAACCAATTATTATAGATTTTGCTGGAAGGCAGAGCAACTATGACCACCAAGTCTAACCAACTTTGAGTTCATCTGTAAAATTTCAGATGTCTGTCACTAGATATCCCAGGACAAATGCAACCTGCAATCAACTACTTTTGAAGGTTGACAGATTTTTTTCAGAGAAAAACACTAGGAGTATGCATTTATTATCCTATGTGTATCAGGGTACTAGTCACCAATTCCTAACTTACCTCATCCAATTGTGGCCTCATTTAGGAAGTCCTTGAGTGCCAAGCCTTCACTCGTTATGAAATTATCTTTTACACTGACAGATCACTTTGTCTGGAAACACAGAGGTAAAACTATGTATGTGTAATTTTGGGGATTTTCTTAACAATGTGTAGTGTCTTGGTTGATGCCTAATCTCTTCTGTTCTGAGAATAAACTAGTTCAACGGTTAAAAATATTAGTATTAAAACAGGAAAATAACCCATCAGAACCAGTGTTCCTCCAGGGCCTAAATCTAGAAAGCTGCAAAATGTGGGCTATTTGATTGTCTGCACAGCAGTTTTCAGTAGTTTTTTTTACAACTTTATAAATTTCCCACGACTTCTGTCCTTCAAAGGTATTGGTTTCTGTAATATTTTAAGTATATGCAATTCATCTGCTCTTCTTCATTGGTGCCCAACTATGCATAGGAGACTATATGAACTCTCCACTTTACAGAAGACAATTCTGTATCTTACTTTTTCCCTGCTTCATGTAGAATTGTACTGTAATAGTTCTACATCAGAGAGCAGCCATGCATATTCTCAGAAGAGAGATATGATATAGATATGTAATAGTCATTTATTAAATACTCATATATTAAAATTATATGCATGTTTGTAACAGGTTCATATTTATAACTAACTTTTGTTAACAACATGTATCTTAAGCAGTGTAACATTGTAGAAATTTTGTGTGGTGTTACTGAGATATCCTTCACTGAGATTCCCAATACAGTAGAAGTAACTTATTTTGTAACACTGCATATAGTAAGGATCCTAAAATATATTTTTGGGTTTTGACATATATGTGTTACAATTTCTGTTTATTTTTGAAAATTATGTCTCACGTTGTTATTAATCAACTTGTCTGAAGGAAACATACACATTCTGGAAAAGTATATCTCGTTGTATTTACTAAGATAGTATAATTTTGATCTTTGAAAATAATCACTGAATTTTTACAGTGAAGTATGAAATATCAACCTCAGTGATAATCACCATCCAAAATTCTTCATTTTCATTTACATAAAGTACAGAAAAAACAAACTATAATTTGGTTTTTACATCCAATAATTTTAAATATTTTTGAGTGATGACTGAATGAAAAAAATCTCTTTATAAAAAATTTGCAACCATGGGAAAAAAGAAAAAGGGTGTGTATGTTTAAATTGGGAATGATCTTGCTCTTAGTTCCTGATTTGAAAAAAAATCCCATACAGCTCTGCTTCTGGTTTTCACCCTTCTTTGGAAAGGGAGGTAATTTTTCCTTTCTGCCTTGTTGCTGTAATTACTCATACTGTTGAACTTTGATGATCACTTGTATTTTTCATGTTAACCAAACTAAAGAAGAGTCTTGAAGCTGAAACAAACTAACATGTTTTTTCAGGTTAATTCGTTGTTGTGATACTGTGCTAAAGACTTTGTGCCTTAATATTCAGATGTTGTACAAGTCTTTGTGCAACTGTGGCAGCCCTTTAGTACTTGTGCTCACTTTGTGCCTATGTGCATGTATACTTTTCTTGCTAAGTTTTATCTAGAAATAGTCCTTAAGTAGCAAAGAAACACTTTCATATGTGATGTTATTTTCTATTCATCAAAATCTCTTTCATTTAGAAGGACGTCTCAAATGGAAGACTACGTCAGAAATGTATAGCCAGAGTGTTTGCCAGTAGTCAGTTGTTAGTGATTTTTACATAGGTAGCTGCAAGTCTTAAAATGGCCAGGCTTAAAAAAAAATTTTAAACGTATAAAGGGTTATAAAATGTTTATGAAATGAAATCTCTAAACTCTTATTTACTGTATTGAGAACTGATAACAAGAAGCACTTGTGCAGGTTGAAGCTGTGTAGCTTCCACTGCTAGAAGTTAATTGTTAGGCTAGAGTTAATTTCATGCATGAGGAAACAAGACATGTAATACAGTGGATATGTGCATTATGTATAGTTAGATTCTACTGATTTAGCTCTGGGGTTTTTTTTAATGCTTTTATGTGTTTGTTCACAATTTTGCAAATACTCCAGTGTTGTTTAAATAATTACATCTTTAAAAGAGATATATGTACTCTTTTTGAGTACTGAACTCAAATATTGCATAGAATTAAAAAAAAATTAGTCTGATCTTTCTAGGGATTTTTAGCAAGGTGGGAAATGAAACAGGTTATTACTTAGAGTTTTCTTTAAAAAAACCTACCATTTCAACAGTTTGTTCTTACCTTTCTTGGATTCATAGTTAGTAATATATATTAGTTATCAAAATGGTCAGAAATATTATTTTTTTCAGTGTTTTTACTTTTTTTTTTTTCTTCCTAGCTGAGAGACACGAAGTCGGCAGATCAGAAAACAACATTGCTACATTTTCTCGTAGAAGTGTGTGAAGAAAGTTATCGGGATGTCCTGGATTTTGTTGAGGATTTTCAGCATTTAGATAAAGCCAGTAAAGGTTTGTGTAACTAACTAAAAGTTTTGATTTTGATACATTACAGTGTCTTGTGTGTGGGATGATGCTTATTTTTTACAAACAATATTTTAAAAATATGCATTAATGGTCTATATCATGGATCAGTAATTTGAGCTGCTGCAAATGGTCTTGAAGATACTTATTGTTTGGTCCTTTAACATTTACTACAGAATTTACCATTACATTTCTTCTAACATATCTTCTAGAATCATGTTCCAAAATAATTTCTTTTAAAAGTTCTTTCCTATTAACAGAACTTAATTCCAACAGAACTTAATTCCAACTTTCAATCTTTTATACAATAAATGTATCACTCAGTGTCTTTTAATTTAGAAATGCATAAAGGCTGGCATGCTGTCATTTCATTTTATTTTTTCAAAACATGGAACAGTTTTGTCTTCCTTGTATGTGTGTTCTTCATGCAAAAGTAACATTGAAAGTCTGGAAAAATTTTACTGTTTCATCATGCAGTATAGAATATGGTAAATCTCAGTATAAGCACCAGTGGGTTTTTTGCAATTAATTTCTTAATTAAGAATATCTTTTCCGTATATTATCACAGTTTAAGTAATTTAAGCAGACTAAGCACTGAGTAAGAAATTAATGCCACCTCAGCATTGTCCTACTGAGTCAGGAAAAAAAAAAATCAAATTACTGTCTCAGTGAATAATTTTTTTGGTTTATATCACTGTTTGTCTGTATTGCTTTGTATAGCATCACCCTTATGTCTCAGTCAGTCTCCTTGCCACAAATTACAGCTTTGCAAAACCTGCTTCTGATGAAGAACTTGAGATACTGGTCCCTTACATAGAGTTCACTTCCTGGTGTCCTGGTTCTTAAAGTTTTCAATTTTACTTAGTGCGTTATAACCACTTAAAGGTTCATTTATTTTTAAATAGCTGTCAATGTTTCAAGCCTTTCACCTAACTTTTTGCATTGGTAATAGAAAGAGTTTCTGCTGTATAGGAATTTAGTGTTTTTGTCATAATTTGCAATGTTACCTGGTCACTGATTGTTTTTTTTTTCATTACCATGATATTATTGTTTGTATTACAGTTGAATTTTTTATATCAGACAGGAAAACTAAAATGTTACTTAATAGAAGCCATTATTTTCAGCAGAGACAGTCATCTTGTGTGACTGACAGACACTTCTGACTGTCTTCTGGAAAACTTAACGCTGATTTTTCAAAGAGTAGCCAGTAAAATAATCAGTTAGTCCAGGCTTTCTGTTCTTTTTTAGCTATCTGCAAATGATTAGATGAATCTTTGATCTGACTCAGTATGTTGTAGGATGGAAATCAATGATCATGTTTTCAAGTTTATATATTGAATTTACTTCAGTGTATTATGAGAAATATTTTGCATTTCAGTTTTACTATATGAAAAAGACAAAGGCTTAGGATATCATTAACAGGTTAGTGTATAGTGTGTTTGTGTATACTTATTTCCTTACCTGCAAAACTCCATTCTGTTTTGAAAGACTCCTGCTGCATTGAAATTCTGGAAAATGCAGCAGATCACAGAGACTGTAGCTCATGGGTTTTTTTTAAACTTTTTAGTCCTTCTGCAAAAGTGCCTTTTTATGAAACAAGTTGATTTAATATGCACCAACTTTTGCACAGTAAATTTTTAATGAAGTGGCTATTTTTGCTTCAGCTTACCAAAGGTCAGTTAAAAAAAAGTCTGTGAATCTGTGGTTATGTTCAGTCACATCCAACATATGGTAACTTACTTATATCCTGATGAAGTCTAACAAATTGACTAAGAATGATTTGTGTTGAGGCTTCTACAGAGAGTTGGGAAATTGTAGCAGATATTACAGCAGATATTATGAGTCATCATTATGGCTGCTAGGGAGAGTGATAGAGGGGAAGTCATAAAAAATCTTTTATCTAGTCAAATGTGCATATTCCAGAATAAAATACTGGTTTTGGTAGAACGAAATTTGATATTGAGGGCTTAGAGCATTTCCTCCATTCCTTGATACTGTACTTAGGGTTTAACAGGAATAATCCACCCTGGCTTGGTTTGTTGGAGACAGTTCAGACTTCCAGTAAATCTAGAAAACTACTGGATCCAAATGTTGCATGTAAGGGTTTACAGGCTCCTGATGTTACAGAAGGGAGGAAGTCAGCCTCAGTTTTTCTTATCATCCAATAGAAAGGTTCTATTCACCTATAGGCTGCTTTGTTCCTCAAAGTTGTTGGATAAGGAGATAACATCCCTCTTTTCTGGTTTTATATTATACTAATATAACGTTCAGTTTTCCTGTGAACCATATAGGTTGTATTTTGTTCCAGTACTTGTTTCTAAATCCTCTTCTCTACCTTTTGTCCTGGCAAAGGTTAGGGCCTTGTATAGGTGGTGGTATGCCATTCCCTTCATGGTTTTGGTGAACTTTGTTCTTTAAAGTAATTTTTAGAAGTAATCCCAGAGAATAAATCAGCGAAGTTGGATAAGAATATTCTCTTCTCCCATACCTTTTTTGTAAGCTGGTTTTTATTGAGCTGATTCTATTCCCTGTCTTGTGTTCGAAGACAATAATTTCATATTTTACATGTGGCATGAAAGTATTATTTGTGACTGTCCTTTAAATTATAAATCAAAATTAATGTGGTAGAAAGATGTTTAAATATCGTTTGAACAATATTAACAGAAAACTTGAAGTTGAACATAATATATAAATATGGAAGTATACTATGCATTTTTTGGTTTTGGATTGATCACCTTCAGGTAATTGTTGAGTCTTCTACAGGTTTCTCAAAACAAGTTACTTAAAAGGGGCCTTTTTTTTTTTTTTTAGAATTCCTCCCTGACATGACTGTCCTTGTATCAGCCAGCCCATTTGTTAGCATACCTCCTATATTTTTTGTTTTATACTTGCTCATTCTTAAACCTTCTCCCTCAAATTATTTCTTATTCAAAATGGTGACCATTGGAACATTATGACATTCAGCAATTCATTTTCTTTTTATCCCTTTCAGAGAAAACATTCTTACTCCTTTAATTTCATTAAATATTGTCCAGTGATTGTACAGTAAGCTGTTAAAATAGCTTGCAAAACTTCAAGAGCAGTGACAAGGTTTGTTAACTGTGAAGCTAGCATGTATTTTTAGTATTTCATAAATGATCCAAGCATTCACAGTATGTAAATTAATCATTGAATTAGGAAAAAGATGTTTTTTTAAATATAACTTTGACAGACAAGCAACAAGGGACATTTAACCTTTGCTATTGTAGTTTAGTTCAGGATATTTAATTTGGGGGTGTTTTTTGCATTATATGCTAAAAGTTTCATTTTTACTTTTGTAATGCTGTAAGTAGATTTAATTCATTGTTATAATACATGTACATTTCTACTTTGAAGTATAACAAATCCTGTTTTTTAAGTACTCTTAGATCAGCAGGAGGAGCTTTCATTACAGCTAATGAGCTTACTGATATGACAGTTCCTGAAGATTTATATAATTAAAGCTGTCTCTTCTTTTAAACGTAATGACCTTCCTGCTTTTCTATTAGTATTCCAGAACAGAAATATTTTGGTAATTTAGTACAATTTACTAATTTCTTATTTTATGATATTCTAAAGAATTTGGTTACATTTATCCAGTTTTATTTGATTGACTCTAATTTACACAGATCTTACAGGTAGTAGTCTATAATAACTCTATAAAACTGTAGATTTTTCCTCTTCTAAAAGACATTAACTCATTGCAACTTGACAAGCAATGTATCCATTTTCTCATTTTTGAAACTTTTTTCAGTTTTTTTCATAGACAATTTCACTTCAAAATAAAAAAAAGTTAGGAACCAAATTGTAAATGTGAAGTTTAATCTATATTCATGAAAAAACAGGATACCTCCACCTACAATATTTAAAAACATTAGGACAGCATAAGATAAAAATATTAACATATATATGCATTCTGTTATTAACATATAAGCATTCTGTATGTCACAAGAGAAGGCTTTTTTTCCTACTGGAGAATTTTTAAGTCAATGGTAAATTTCTCATTACTGTTAAATAACATACTTATTCTATACATTGCTTGGGGTTTTGTTTTGATTTGGGTCACAAATTCATAGGCTGTATTTTCAGACCATCAAGATTGTTGTGTTTGAGTTGTTTTTTCAGAAAGCAGTGCAAATTTCATGTACTCTATTAGTCTCAGTCAGTACCAAGATCAACAGGTGGTTCCACTATTTTGCAGATTACACAGATTTCTAAGTTCCTATAGCAGATTTATAGAATGAAATAGACTCATTGAAGAAGGTGAAAGCAGGGACTAGGAAAATGAAGAACCACCCACTGTAGATGACAGGTTCAAGACCATTTAAGGAACTTTGAAGGTGCACAAGTCTATGGGACCTGATGAGATAAATACACGGGTCCTAAGGGAACTGTCTGAGGAAGTGGTAACCCACTATTTGTCATATTTGAGAAATCATGGCAGTCCAGTTAAGTTCCGGAAAAGGGGAAACATAACCTTCATTTTTAGAATGGGAAATAAGAAAGACTCAGGGAACAACAGGCTGGTCACTCTCACCTCAGTGCCTGGCAAAATAATGTGCTAAGGCACAGGGAAAATAATGAGCTGTTTGGTCACAACATGGTTTCATTAAAGACAAATTGTACCTGACAAATTTGGTGGCTTTCTACGATGGGGTTACAGTGATGGTGGATGAGGGAAGGGCAATAAATATCATCTCCCTGGAGTTGTGTAAAGCATTTGACACTGTCCTGCACAACATCCTTTTCTATAAACTGGAGAGACATAGATTTAATAGATAGACCAGTCAGTGGATCAAAAATTGGCTCAGAGGTCACACTGAGAGATTTGCAGTCATGTGTCAATGTCCATATGCGGACCAGTGATGAGTGGTGTTCCTCAGGGAACTGGTATTGGGACTGGTGCTTTTTAACATCTCTGTCAGTGACATGGATGGTGGGATCGAGGGCACCCTCAGCAAGTTTACCAA